ACACACACACACACACACACACACACATACACATACACACAAAATTCACACACATATAAAAAATTGCAACCATGCACTAATATAACGTGTGTTGCCTCCTAACAATTTTCCAGTAAAAATATGCTGGATGGCTGAGCTTTTACAATGAAAAAAAAAACGTTTTTAAAAAGTGAGATCCGGGTTTCAAAACGCGTAATTCTCATTTTCTAGGAAAACCAGGAGGAAAAATAAAGCGTAGCACGAAGGAGGGATAGAGTCGGGCGCAAAGTATCTTTGCCAAAAGTGTCTCCTCTTAATCTTGTGAGCCAGGCGATAAAAGCGGATGGGTTTGTTTGCTTTTTTGTTTCCCTGTGTAAGTGTTTGTGTATAAGTGTATGTATTTGTTACTTTGTGAGTGTGTAAGTGTTTAAGTGTTTTTGTGTGTGTTTGTGACTCTGTATGTGTGTGTGTTTGTGTGTGTGCGTATGTGTGTGTGTGCGCGTGCACGCGTGTTAGTGTGCGTGCGCGCGCGCGCGCGCGTGTGTGTGTAAGTATTTACGTGTGTGTGTGTGTGTGTGTGTGTGTGTGTGTGTGTGTGTGTGTGTGTGTGCGCGCGCGCGCGTGGGTGTGTAAGAATTTTTCCTTGGCACCTTTTATGTCCATTTATAAACACATTACTTTGTGCGAAGTTTACTGAAAAAGGTGGACCAATAGGCAAATTTTTCTCCGGCCTCATTTCGGTCAATATCCTAGGCTTGACATTTTGCTCAAACGAATGAACATCTTATCATTTTAAAGCAAAGCTAGAAAAAGGTCCAAACGAAAAGCTTTTCCACACTTAATTTCTAGATCGACGTCGATTCGGGGGTATTTCTAGTTCAAAATATAAAATCTACATCGTTTTGCAGATAGTCTAAAAAAAAGAAGAACGTTGCATTGAAAATTATATTAAGGCCTTGTCATACCTGCATTTCAAGATGGCGCTCCTGACTCACGTTCTCGTACAAGATGGCGTTGGTGAGTCGCGTGTTGGGCAAGGCGTGTTTCACGCACAGGTACTGCTTCATCTTTATGTTTTTCGTGGGTCGTGTGTCCACCTTTTCGTGGGTCAGTAGCGGATACTTCAACGTCCCCACTTTGCTGGAGTCTGGAGCAGCCTCTAGTTTACTGGGGTCGACTTCCATAGCGGCGACCATGTCGTGGCGAGTGTCGTTGGTGGACGGTGGTAGCCTCTTTACTTTAGCCATTTTTGTTACAACCAGAAGTAACAGTCAGTAATGAGCTTAGTAAGTTATTCAGTTACAGGAAAAATCTGTAGTCATCTAATTTACTCGCATATTCTCATCCAGCCTTTTTAAACAACCAAAATAAGTGTTCAAGTTTTCATGGTAGCACCAGAAATGAGCAGTTTCGTTGTAAAACAGACTTGATAAATCCTCATTATTATCGTCAACAGAACGATTTAATTGTTCTCTAGTTTTCCTGATCTCTCATCTACTGTTTAAAATGTAGTCAACGGAAAAGGAAATATTTCAATTTCTTTTGTTTCTCTTTGCTCCACTGGGGCTAGAATGTTGTGTTAAACTGAACGTGAAGAAACTTGTTTTTCAGGATATCAAAATGTATTCTTTGAATAACGAAGAGACTGTTCGAAGACCGTGTCGTCCTTCAAAGTAGATCATTCATTATCACACATAGCGTACCCTCACAACACAGTGTGTCTCTTTTTACATAGCGGCAAAAATTACTACTTTGATCTCGTGCACTTGGGTTTTATTAAGAAGTAACATTTTGAAAACGTATAGGGTGCAGAAAAGTCATATAGCCCACACATTATTTCTGAAATTGTTTTGAACTGTAGTTTGGTATAGACGGTTGTATAACACAGTGTACTATGTTACAGTACACGCCCATCCACTGATTGCCCTCAGTGACGCAGAGGGAACACAGCCAGAATCAATATTTCTGAAAGGTAAAGGAGAAAGACGCATAAACCTAAGTTTTTTAAAAAATTATTACGACAGGACTGATTGACTGTTAGTCTTTGCACAGCCCTTTCAATAGGACCACACGTCACAGTTCTGTCTTTGAGAACAATATTTTTTTCTGTTAACAGGAAACATTGTTCTCAAGAAACTGCAGAGAAGTAAACATGTGGAACAGATGTTATGTTTCAATTCATCCCGTTGACATTAGCTATATACTTATATTTAAATAGCAAACTGTGAGGAAAATGTTTTGAGTTATTCGTCTCAAGATCATTACACTCACTGCCTATTTCTTTTTCATCTGTTGATAAAATCTCAACATTCTGCTTTCCATTTATCCAAACAGCTACAATATTGTTTATACGGTGAATTTACAAGTTAAAAGTCATTTGTCCACAAATATTTACTCATCAAATGTGTTATCTGATCAATCATTATAATAAATATGCTATTCAGTTGCTCGATTCATTTTGATATATCTATCTATCTGTCTGTCTATCTATCTATTTATCTATCTATCTATCTAGCTAACAAGCTAGCTAGCTTAACTAGCTATCAATATCTATCTATCTATCTATCTATCTATCTATCTATCTATCTATCTATCTATCTATCTGTATGTCTGTCTAAAACGAGTCCTAGTCTGAGTGTTCAAACGAGCGTATTTATGAATATTGAGGACATTGCAGTTGGCACTTCGGAATCAAGGAGGTGATGTAAATACCAATAGAACACACACTTCTACAAATGTAAAAATGCAAAACTAACTATATCCAGAACACAAATAAAACAAATTAAACAAACACTGTTACTGAAATATCACTACCCAGAGATTGTTCGACTTTCACATATATCTACCAACAACGTTTCATATTTGTCACATCCATAGGAATGAACTGCGAAGTGAATAACCAGTACTATTAAAGGGCACCAGTCGGGCACAGATCAATCAATCGATCCATCGATCCGTGGAATAACAAAAGCTCTGATTTCGGCTGGCTCAGTCTTCAGACGATAATCCGACGCTTTCAATCGATCGGTGGTTGTAACAAAGGCATTACTGTAAAACTCCGGAACGGGCCCTGCTTAATAAGATTAAGCCCGAGGAATCGTATCCTTGTGTTATGAATACTGTTCAGTTGTGGTCGTGTCCAGGTCATAAAATGTTAGCCAAAAGGTGAATTAATTTATTCGGAAGGAATCCCAATCCCAAATACACACACTTAGACACACAAACACACGCACATACACACACACACAAACACACACACACACACACACACACACACACACACACAT